GGCGCGAGCGGCAAGGAGAATAGAGAAGCGCATTCTCCCGCACGCAGCGCAAGCGATCAGGTCCCGGAGGCGGGCGCGCGGCGCGCGCGCGGCGACCCGTAAAGGATGACGGGGCGCCGCGCCCAAGCCGTGCGGCGCCCTCAGACGACCTCGTCCAACGAGGCCATCTGGACGGCCAGGTGGCCGTAGCAGCCATACCCAGGCTCAAAGCCCTTGCGAAGTGACAAGGTTTTGGCGGGCGGCCGCGAGCAGAAGGGGCCACGCAGTGGGGCCACAGTTCAGAAAGGAAGCGACAAGGAAGTCGCTCGCGCCATCGAAGTAGGTGACACGGGCCCGAGCGGCATCAGGCAAGGCGGAAAGCATCGCGGCGGAAGCATCGTCGTGCAAGAAGCGCTCCGCGCTAGACGCCTGGCGCCAGCGACTACGCCAGAAGATACGACCAATATCTTCTGTGGCCGTATGAAAGTCTGTCGCGCCTGAGCCGCGGGGGCAAGCAGGGGTCAAGTGGAACCCCGCTGGCGTCTCGGCGAGCGGTACGCCTAACGCCAAAAGTAAATGGTTCCACCGAGTACGGAAGCCGCTTTGACCAAAGGTCGACAGAGGATCGGTGGGACCCAAATGCCGAAAGACCATCTCCAAAACCCGAACCACCGCTTTGTCAGAGCACCAGGCGTGCTGTGGCGGGTAAGACATGCTGCTCACTGGATCGGGAATGGTCATCCAAGCGTTGCCTGAGGACTCAAGGCAATCCGAAGGCAACAAAAGGTCACAGCGACGGGCTGACAGCAGCTCGTCGGGCTTCAAGGACATCGTGAACCCTGCCAGCAGCAAGGCGGCCATGACTGGCCAGTCCCAAGTGAAACAAACTGCCACCATAGCGCGCAAGAGCGCTCGTGGCATTGGCGGCCGAAGGCGAGGTGGCTGAGACCGCTTCCAGGCCCTCGCCACTCCCCACGCCTCGGTGAGAAAGGGCTTCCAATGAGGGAGACGTGCCTGGACGCCTATGATCGCGTGCACCAGGATGTTGAGCGGGAAACCTGCGTCGTGCAGCCACACGCCGAACGTTGCGAGGAACCTCGACAGCAGGATCCCACTACGATACAGCGGAAGTGGCGCCACCCCTGCGTCCTCGGCGCACCACAATTCGAACGCGTAGAGAGCTCTTTTGCGCCGATCGCCGGCCGAAGTCAGAACAGCGCCTGACCAGGGAGCGCTGGGAGGCTCCGTCTCTGCCGCCCTGCGGCGGCGGCGGCGCGCGGGGTGGGGGACTCGCCGAGGCCAGGCAAGGGTGGCACTCTCGTCGCGATGCCGCGCCGGCTCAGCCTCGCTGTGCAAGCCCGTACCAACCCTGGCCTCCGCCTCGGCGGCGCTGTCCACCTCCGCGAGGGCAGTTGGCGCTGCCACAGGCGAGGGCGAGTACGCCGCCGCCTCAGGGAATCCAGCGGAGGCGGCCTCTCTGACGCAATCAGCAAGACGAGAGCGGGCGATGCGCATCGCATCCTTGCGCCGCTCGAGCTCGGCTAAGAGCGTCTGCATTCGCTTCGCCAGCTCTCCCGCGCTCTCGCCAGTCTCTTCGCCTGTTCCCAGCATAACCTCGGTGAGAGCGGCCTCGGCAGCGGCGACCGAGGATAGGAATCGCGCGCGAGCGCGCCGGTCGGCACGCGCGCGCCGCGCAACCGCGGCCGCTGGGCCAGCGACTCGGCTGGTGCGCATCGCAACCGAGGTAGCGCACGCCCCGTCTTGGGGCAGGCCTCGAGCCGCGCGCGCAGAGGGCTCCAAGGAGTCGAGAAGGTGTGGCGCAGCCGCCAACGCGTCTGAGCCCTTCTCGTGCGCGGCTCCGCTAGGTTGGGGGAGATCCGCGCTATCAACGGGCGAGTCCACCGACAGAAGTGCGGCGCGAGGCGCGGCCGCGGGGCCAAGAGACCTCGGACTGGCCCCGGCACGGGGCGCGGCCTCAAGCATGGCGAAGGAGGCGGCGGCGGGCCCCGAGGCCGCGGGTATGCGCGCAAGCGCGTTCGGCCGCAATCGATCCGCAGGAACCCGCATGGGTGCACCGTCGACGCGTAATGCTGGTGGCGCACTGGCGGCGCGAGCAGGAGGGCCCATGCTGATCCTGGCGCCCCGCGCCGAGAATGCGCCAACCGGCAAGCTCCCGGAGCTCGCCGAGCCGGTGACCGTGGGCGGGTCGCGAGCTCCGGAAGCGAGGTCGCAAGCGGGGTCGCTGCCGGAGCCGCGCGGCGGCGGAGCGGCCGCGAAGCGGGCGGCTGGGCCAGCCGAGCGGGTGCTCGCGCGAGCGCCCCGCGGCGGCGGTGCGCGGCGAGAGCCCCGCGGCGACGCCACTGGCGGCGCGTCCTGCGAGTCCGACTGGCGTCGCGGGGCGCGGTCGGAAAAAGTATGCGGAACGCGGGCGCCGTCCCCCGGCGCAAGCGGCGCGTCGCGCCACTTCGAGGTGCTGCCGAGCCGGGCGCTGCTGGAGGGGGCACCGGGCGCGCCTGCTCCAAGGCCCGGGCTCCAGGAGCGCGAAGGCAAAGGCTCACGCCCCTCGTCCGCCGACGCGGCGGCGCGATGGCGCGCGCAAGGCTGGCCCCACAGCGCGAAATTGGCAGTGCGCCTGGCCCTACGACCCGGGGGCGGCGCGGCCGCGCCAGGCGCCGAGAGCAGCGCCGCGGGCGCACGAGCAGCGCGCGCACGACGGGGGCGCTCAGCGCGAACCGTTTCCGCTGGACGAGCTGGCCGATGGCGCCTTCCGCGCGAAGAGCAGGGCGCCGAGGGAGTCCCAGAGGCGGAGGCCCCGAAATCCGGCCGTGCTCCGCCCAGCTCGGGCTGCAAGCACTGGCAGGCGCCGGCGGCGCGCCCGTCTGGCCACGGCCGCGCTCTTGCATATAGGCGCGGGCCCGCACGAACGCCTCCGCGGCAAGTCCCGTGCTCCCGTTCCTGGCAAGGTAGGGTTCCCGCTCCCGGCTGGCAACGAGAAGCCTCGCCAAGCAGGAGCGACTTCGCGTCGCAGAACCTGGACCAGAGGGGAGAGGCGTCCGCGCGGTCCGATGCGGACAATGGGCGATGGCGCGCCCTGTCCGGGCGGTGCGGCGTGGCCAACCGCCGGAACTGGCGTTCCATGGCCGACCGGTCGGCACCCGGTTTGAGCTGAAGGAGCTCGCGCGCCGTCCGCACCTTTGCAACCTTGGCGGGTCGCTTGGGATCGGTCCGGGCGGCGAGCCTCGGCCTGGCCGCCGAAAGCTGGGCGGGCGCGCCGGGCGGGCCAGCGGCAACGGGGGCCGCACCCGGCCTGAAGGGCGCTTCGAAAGGCGACGCGCCCTGGGAGGCTTCATGGGGAAGCGCGGAGAGCTCAGCGGCACCTTCGGCGCTCCTTCCCCCGAGGCATCCGCCGCCCACCGCGGGAGAGGCGTTCCGCCTAGGAATCTCTGGAGCCTCGGCTTGCGCTGGGTCGGGCTGCGGAAGCGTGCCGGGAGCTTCGAGAAAAACCGGCGCCTCGACCCCAGTTGCGGCGGCCGCGCTTGCAAACCATGCGTCGGCCGCGGGGGCGGGCGAGAGAGGGGGACGTGCCGCCAGACCATGGGCGGCCCGGGCATTCCCCCGCGCAAGGAGCCCCTGTGCTAGGACTAGCGCGGCGAGCCGTCCCCATAGGCAAGTGGGGTAGGGAGAATGCGCGTCAGCAAGTGCGACCCAATCGAACCTACCGAAATCGCCCGCCTCAGCGTCGACCAGCCACGCAGGAGCCTCCCTGGAGGGGGGGCGCACAGGCCGATTCCTGGTGGGGTCATCCGCCCTGTGGACGTCGGTGGGCACATAGAGGCCACCCATGTATAAGCCACCGCTCAAGATGTAAGGCAAAGCCGTGCTGAGGACATGGGAAAGCCCTGGAGAGCTGCTGCGACCGTGGGCGGCCGCGCCCAAGGCGACCTTAGAATCGAGCAGCACAGGGATCCGAGAGTCCGGCATGCGAACGCAGCAGTACTTGCACAGACTCTTGAAAACAGTGGCCTCCAGGATGTTGATGTGACGCGGCATTCGAAATTCCCATTTATAGGCCAGGCGGAAGTGCAGCGCTTCCGACAGTTCGCTTATCCAGTGCGGCGCGACTGGGGGCTCAATGGAAGGGAGCCCCAAATCGCGATGCAGCTGGGTGAGCTCGGGGCCTAATGGGACTCCCCGGTCCAGCACGGCAAGCAAACTTCGGTTGTGGAGGACCGTGTGCCACCCTCCGTGCTCAGACCGGCGCCACAACTCTTGGGAGAGATGTGGACTGATCGAGGAGCGGACCACTCCCCCCCAGCCGAGGGAGGCGTCCGTGCCGAACACTTCGGGGGAGTAGCCCGCGCGAAGGTCGGTAATGGCGACAAAGGCCAGGTAAGTGCAGGCTAGCAGCTCGTCGCGAACGGAGACGGGGAGCTCGTATTCGAACCCATCTTCCGTCGACAACGACGACAGGAAGTTGTAGACGTGCGTGAAAATCGACAGCATGGGCCTGCGAAAGAGAAACACTTGCACCCAACATCCGACGAGCGACGCTAGCACCGCGCGGGTCGAATGACCGAGGTACACTTGGATGAGGGTTAGCCGGCACAGGGCCACGGTGCGCACAAGAGGCGCGCACACGATGCCTATCCGACCCTCCACCTCGGCACCGACCACGACCTTATGAGTCGCGCCACGGGTCCGCTTACCAGGGTGCTGGACCAGCCCCACGCGAGGGTAGCCGCGGTCGCACGCAGCAAACACCTCCTTATCACGACGATTTGGGTCGTCGGGGCGGGGAGCT